GGTCCATGAGGTTATAGATTTCTGGTAATGTCTTTGTCTGATTTTGGTATCAAGGCAATGCTGCTCTCATAGGGATGGCTTTGGAATTATTCCCTCCTTTTGTATATACTGGAAAAGATTGTGTAGAATTTATATTATCCTGTAAGTGTTTGATAGAATTTACCACTGAAATCATCTGGACCTGGAGTTTTCTTTGTGGGAAGGCTTTAACTATGAATTTAATTTCCTTAATAGATACAGGGCTATTCAGGCTGTCTCTTTAGTGAGCTTTGATAGTTTGGATCTTTGAAGGAATTTATTTATTTCATGTAAGTTGTTGGGTATGGATTTAGAGTTGTTCATAGTATTCATTTATACTTTTTAGGACTTGTATGGTCTACAGTGATATATACTCCTTCATATCTGATTTTGGTCATTGTTGTCTCTTCCCTTTTTTCCTTGGTTTTATTGATTTTCTCTATTATTTTTCTCTTTTCTATTGTATTATTTTCTTTTATTACTCCATCTGCTTGATTTGAATTTAATTTACTTTTTCTTATTTCTTAACATAGAAGCTTAGATTATTGTTTTGAAATCTTTCTTCTATTACAAGCATTAAACTTTCCTCTAAGTACTGTGTTTGCTGCATCCCATAAATTTTGGTGTGTTCAGTTTTATGTTCATTCAGGTTAAAATATTTTCTAATTTCTCTCAGAAATTCTTCTTTGACCTATTGGTTATTTAGAAATACAGTCATCCTTCAGTATCCGTGGGGAATTGGTTCCAGAATCTTCCACAGATACCAAAATCTGGGGATGCTCAGTCCTTGATGTAAAATGGCGTAGGAGTTGCAGATAACCTACGCACATCCTCCTGTGTATTTTAAACCATCTCTAGGTTACTTGTAATACCAAATGCAATGTAACTGATATATAAATAGCTGTCATACTGTATTGTTTACGAATGGGAACAATGGAAAAAGTCTGTACGTGTTTAGTACAGACACATTTTTTTCTTGAATATACTTTTGATCCACAGATGCAGAAGGCCAACTCTGTGTTTCATTTCCAAATATTTGGACATGTCCCAAATTTCTTTTTGTCTTTTGACCTCCAATTGTATTTTGTTATGCTCAAAGAACATGCTCTGTATGATTTTAATCCTTTTAAATTTATTGAGACTTGTTTTATGGCCTCGCATGTGGTCTGTCCTGGGGAATGTCCTGTGTGTGCCTCAAAAGAAAGTGTGTTCTGCAGCAGTTGGGTGGAGCATTTTATACATGTCACTTAGGCTGAGTTGGTAGATAGTATTGTTCAGGTTTCTGTGTCCTTGCCAATTTTCTGTCTAGTTCTATCAATTTATTGAGCATAGGGTATTGAAATCTAACATTATTATTGTTGGACTATTTCTCCTTTCATTTGTGTCACTTTTTGCTTTATGTATTTTTGAGGCTGTCTTGTTAGGAATATATGCAGTTTGTAACTGTTATATCTTCCTGAAGTGGTAGCCCTTTCATCATTATGAAATGTCCCCTGCTGTCTCTGGTAGGATGTCCTGTGTTAAAGTCTACTTGTTTAACATTAATACGGCCGCTCCAGTTCTCTTACAATTACTGTTTGTATGGTATGACTTTTCCCATCTTTTTACTTTTAGTATTTGTATGTCTTTGAAACCAAGGTGTGTCTCTTATGGGCAAGATAGTTGGAGCTTACTTTCTTATCAAGTCTGACAATCTTTGCTTTTGACTGGAGTTTTTAGACCATTTGTACTTAATGTAATCATCGACATGGTTAGGTTTACATTTGCCCTTTTGTTATGTGTTCGGGGTATCTTGCTATTCTCTGTTCCTCCTTTACTGGCTTTTCTTTGTGTTAAATAAAGATGTTCCAATGTACTATTTTAATTCCTCTCATTTTTTGAACTAAAATTTTAAAGCTGTTTTCTTAGTGGTTGCCCTAGGGGATATAATATGCATCTTTTTTTAAACATCACAATGTACTTTAAGATTTACTTAATTCCAGTAAATATAGAAACTTTTCTCCTGTGTACGTCTGCTCCCTTCCCTTGTGTTATGCTATTATTTTCATATTTATTACATCTGTATAAGTCCAACAATACAGTATGAAAATTATTGCTTTCTACAGTGTTTATGTTTTAGAGAAGCTAAGGGAACACATTAGAAAAACTGTGTCTATAGGGTCCTTTCTATTAACCCACATATTTCCGGTGCTCTTTATTTCTCTGCGGATTCAGTCACCACCTTTAGTAATTTCCTTTTAGTCTGAAGGACTTTCTTTAATATTTCTCGTAGTGCAACTCTATTATCAGTGAATTCTCTCACTCTTTATTTATCTGAGTATGTCTTTATTTTTGGAGGATAGGTGTGCTGATCTGGCTTCATCGCATCCCACAAGTCAGCTGTCACTTCTGTTGCTCTCATGCGTGCACACCACCATACGTGACGAGTCGTTTTTTACTTGCTGCCGAGATTTTCTTTTTCTTTCTTTTTTTTTTTTTTGTCTTTCAGTAGTTTAATTCTGCTTTATCTAGATGTGGATCTCTGTATTTATCCTACAAATACAGACTGTTGAGGTTCGTTGAGCTTCTTGGGAGTGTAAATTAAAGTTTTCCATCAAATTTGGAAAGTTTTCTGCCATTATTTCTTCAAATATTTTTTCTGCTTCTTTCTGTCTTTTCCCTCTGGGACTCTCATTACAAGCATTTAGTGTGCTTGATGTTTCTGAAGGTTGTTCGTTTTATGTTAGTTTTTTTCTCTGTGTTCTTCATGTTAGTTAACGTCTGTTGATTTATCTTCAGATTCACTGATATTTTTCTTCTGCTGTCTTGAATCTTCTGGTGAGCCTCTATAGTGAATTTTTAATTTTAGTTACTGTACTTTTAACTCCAGAATTTCCATTAATTTCTGTCTCCTCCTTGAGAATCTCTGTATGCTGATTCCCTGTCCTATTTTTCTTCAATTTTTTAAGCATGACTTCCTTTAGTTCTTTGAATGTATTTGTAGAACCTGTTTTTTCTGCCACTTTGTTGGCTTTTTTCCCCCTGCTAATTTAACATCTGAGGACACTTGGAGACAGTTTCTGTTGACTGCTCTTTCCCCCCAGTATGGGTCATATCTTGCTGTTTCTTCACGTACAAGTTCACTGTAGAGGCTCAGCAGAAGATTCAAGACCACAGGAAAAAAAATCAGTGAATCTGAAGATAAAACAATAGAAGTTAACTAATTTTTTGTTGAAACCTGGACATTTTTGAGAATATATTTTAGCAACTCTGGACTCCGAGTTTACCTCCCAGAAGATTGTTTCTGCTTTATGTTTGTTTGTCTGTTACATAACTTACCTAGGCTAAATCTCTGGAAGCTGTCTCTCCTGCAGCTCAGTTATTATTATGTTTATTTATTTTTTAAGTTTGGCTCCCTGGAGTTTGCTCCTATGTCTGTGTGGCTTGGTAGACAGTCAGCCTAAAATTGATTGAACAGAGACAGTGCTCACCCGCCTCAAGCCAGTAAGGCTTCTGGTCTCTGTCGATGGAACCGTGTAGGCAGAGGGGCTGTGTTCAAAGCTCAAGTCATTTTCAGGTTATTTTGGCTTTCCTTCCTCCTGGGCCCTTTTGTGTCTCCTTTACTTGTGTGCGCAGCCTCGGAGTTGGCCAGGAGTGTGTAGCTGGCTTGGACCCTGTCTAGTCTAGTCTCCACTATTTATGCACACAGCCTCAGCCTGGAACACGCTTGGCTCAACCATGCAACCTGGGCTGATAGGGCCATTGGCCTTTCCTGTTCACCCACCTCTGAGATTGTCACTGCCACCGACACCACCACTGAACGTGGGCATCCCCCACCACTCCAGATCAAGTGAGCCTCCTTCCCCCCCCCCCCCCGGTGGGGAAGCCCCAGCTGCCAGTCTTCACAGCCTGCCCTGCTCTGGCAGCGCCTCCTGGTCAGCCATGCAGGGGTGGAGGGCACATGGACAGCAGGGGGAGTGGGGACAGCACGAGAATGCCACACATTCCCACTGTCTGGGCCTGAAGTTCAATTTTTCAAGCGTAAACACTTCTCAGACAGCTCTTTGCCTTTGGTTGACTTGCAGAGCTCTGATCCGGTTGTTCTTGTCGGTGTCATCCAGCTCTGTAGTTGCTTTTGGGCTTCAGGGTTAGCTGCTCGCCTCACTTGGCCATAGCTGGAACTTCTGCCTGGGGAAGCCTTTCAGCTAACAGTACTTTTTGTTTAGTAGGCTTATAAAAATTCTCAGTGTTCACTTGATATTTGGTGTGTCATGCTTGTCAAGCTAATTTTCTATGTTTTAAAACAAATAATCACTCATTAAACTCTATTTTAGTATGGTTGTAAGTTCTGGAATAGCATTCACTATTGGAATAACTGTCATTATTGCATTCATGGAGAGATTCCTTTGCTGTTTTCAGTTTAAGTAATTTAAAAAACAATGGAGAAAAAAGCTACAGCCTTAAGTTACTTTCTGTAACATTAAATTTAAACTTATACATTTGTAGATTATATTGCATTTGGACACATTTTTATAATGATAGAAATGTCATGTGGTTTGTAAGGATGACTTATTAAATTCCACTTACGACTCCATTCTTGCCTCTGGGGCTTTGTGTGGCCACACACAGACTGGCCTAATGTTAGTTTTTCATATTGAGATAAGATTTCCTATTAAATTTTTTTTGCACTTTAGCAATCCTTGAAGAAAATAGCACTTCGAGGCTGTGATTATTCTTGTCACAATTAAAAGATTTGTTAGTGTGTTAAAGTGGAATTTCATATTTAAAAAATGAATAGTCATTGTATCTTACCTGTGGGTGAATGCAAACATTCACTCTGTTTGCTATTTTTAGGTTAGTGAAAAATCACCGTCATTTACTACTTACTACATAGCTTTCTACCACGTAGCCGATAGCCATAGGAATGGTTTTTCAGTTATAGTATAGTGATAGTAATTCACGTCAGACCAAGTTGTAGGTGACTCTTCGTGTGTCTCTCGCAGGCCGCTTTGAAGAGGAATTTATCAAAATGCGCATGGAGCGACTTCAGGCCTGGATGACCAGAATGTGCCGGCATCCCGTCATCTCAGAAAGTGAGGTTTTCCAGCAGTTCCTGAATTTCCGAGATGAGAAGGTAGGACGTTTTATTATTATGGTCTTAGAGATACCGAGAGTTGTCATGTTCACACCAAATTTATGTCTGAAAGGAGTTAAAATTGTATCGGTTAGTTCTCACTTCTTCCAGTGACAATGGGGACAGAAACGTAAATCCCAACCATGGGAACTCCGTCATGATGTGTGACGAGCTGCCCTCCCAAGGGGATCGATGGCCTCCGGGTCGGCAGGGGCAGGGAGGGCCTGGTGGAGGATGCGATAGGTGAGCAGTTTTTTCCTAGATGCTTTTAAAAATAGAATAGACCCCAAACTATGGAGGGCGTTAGCAGCATGAAGGGAGGGGAGTAGAGTGAATGATTTCTTCTGATCACCTTTGACCTCGGGGTGCACCGGCATTAGGAAAGGAAGAGTGGAGTCGGAGATGAGCCCTTGTGCCTGAAGCCAGGTTGTTTTTCCACAGCCGTAGCTGTGAGTCCAGAGCAAACCTGGTCTCTCCCTGCTCGCCCCATGGCCAGTCATTCTGCCGGCGGTCATCTGTTTTTTATTTTAAGTCAAGAAAAAACTGGTTGCCTGACATCTACTTTGAAAATAGTTTTCACTCTCAATAAGCATTTACTGTACTCTTTATTATATCATCTTATTCTCTAAAGACTTTTTCTCTGTCACAAATGTTACATATTTTAGAAAACACTCTAAAGAAGAAAAGCGTGAGTTAGCTCAGAAGCAGCAGCCGATGCTAAATATATTATGATCCTGGGAAAAAAATATGGAGTTATTTTTGTCTTTAATCAAATAATAGAATATCATATATCCTGTTGGAGCTTTCAGCAGAGATTTACTTGATAAACTTTGTAGCACTTTTCCCTTGTGGGAGTGAACATATTTACAGTGAGTCTTAAATATTAGTACTCTATCTATATATGTTTACAGGCATGTGCGTACACTTAACATAGTATCAATATTTGGGCCTTGCTTTCAGTTACTGCCTATTTCTAGAATTGACAGGCTCTTTTGAGGTCACTGGGTAGGGAATTGGAAAACATGGAAATGCTTCAGCATTTCTTTGTGAATTTGTATATGTCATAGGCCTAGCCTTGTGGGCTGCTCTAGCAAACCCTAGTTTTTCTGGTGAGATGTGATACTCAGTCACAGTATTTATGGCATGAAGCTATACAGTATTGATACTAAGTTCTTTGAGTGAGTTTAGTAAGTGTTTTGTTACATTGTAGTTAAAAAACAAAACAAAACAAAAAAAACCACATGGAACCCCTCCAAGTGTGCTGCCCTCCTGACTCCCACAAGACTTCAACAAGAGCTTATTTGATTGATTTGCCAAGGGTTTGATGCAGAAAGCACTTCTAAAGGTCATGTTTTATGCATGGTAGGGTTTAAGAATAACGATAAATCCTAGACATTGGTTGTTTTGTTTTCAGTGACTGCCACCTTCAAAGATTGATGAGCTCACCATACAAGTGGTGTGAGAGCGAAGAGAACAGTTGCAGTCCAAGCGCTTGAGTTCTCGTGTTAGCTCTGCTTCTAACTGCCTCTGTGATCTTAGTGAAGGCATTTAATCTCTTTGGGCCAGAATTTCTTCACCTGATAAATGACAGTGTAGAACTAGATAAAAACTGATTCTGTGGTCAGTAGCAGCTTATGTAAATAAATGGTGGACATAGAAAATCCCAAAGAATCTATAGAGAAAATACTAGAAGTGGTTAGTAAGGTAACTGGATACAAGACATTGCAAATTTATCTAAAAAACCATTTATAATAGCATCAAAAGTATCAAATATCTAGGAATAAATACAAGAAAATGTTATAAAATATCTGCATAGAAAACTATGAAACACTATTGAGAGAAAAAAAAGACCTAAATAAATTTTCTAATACTGTGTCTCATGAATTCAAAACAATAAAAATGCTTTATGTATAAAATGAAAGTAGTCAGAATAGCAAAGACGCTCTTGGGAAAGAATGAAGTAGGACTGGCTGTGAAGACTCATTGTAAAGGTAAAAGAGTTTTAAAAGAGTGGTATTGACATAAGGCTAGACAGACAGACCAGTAGAACAGAAGACAGCGGATGCTGGATTTATGACAAAGGTGGCTGTGCGTGCAGTAGGGTAAGGACAGTCTTTTCAGTAAGCGGTGTTGGGTCAATTGGACGCCCCTTGGGGCCAGGAGGAGTGGAATGTCACTATAGCACAACAATCTATAGTTGATTTTGTTAGGGTTGATATCAGTATTGTGATTGTGTTTTTAAAAAATGAACTTATCTGTTAAAGAAACATATTGAAATATTTACAAGTAAAATGATATCATATCTGAGATTTCCTTTAAAGTAAGCAAAAAAACCAAAAACAAACAAAAAAAACAAAGACAGAATGGAGGAGAGTAGCTATCACGCAAGATTGGCAACCCCGGGCAGCAGCAGTAGGCAAGTGCACAAGTGCTCTGAGGACCGGGCCACGGATCTCTTGTGGAGTCCGTGGCAGGATGTGTGGAAAATTTCTTATGCTCTTTGAACATTGGTGGAAAGAAATGTGCCAAAACTGTAGCCAAAGGAGACATTATGCTTCCAGAAAAATCTCAAAAGTACTACAAGCATGAGTGGTAGCTGTTGGATTAGGCGCTAAAGGTGAGGGTGGAGGGATTTAACCAGTTGGTGTAAAAGTTGGAGATAAAGTTCTCCCAGAACATGGAGGCACCAAAGTGCTTACAGACAACGGTGATCATTTCTAATTTAGAGGTGGTGACATTCTTGGAAAGTGTGTAGATTGAAGTGAGTAACTATTGAAACGGCATCACGGGAAGCTGCCTGTGCCACTGAAGTTCTGAGAGCTTTCGCCGTGAAGATTGGCAAAATGTTGAAGCCGAGTCTGTAAGGGCTTGTTATGCTTTTCTCTCCACTTTTGTGTATGTTTGAAAGTTTTCATTGTATGCAGTTTTTTTTTGTTTTGTTTTGTTTTGTTTTTGAGACAGAGTCTCACTTTGTTGCCCTGGCTAGAGTGAGTGCCATGGCGTCAGCCTAGCTCACAGCAACCTCAGACGCCTGGGCTCAAGCAATCCTCCTGCTTCAGCCTCCCAAGTAGCTGGGACTACAGGCATGCACCACCATGCCCAGCTAATTTTTTCTATATACTTTTAGCTGTCCAATTAATTTCTTTCTATTTTTGGTAGAGACGGGGTCTCGCTCTTGCTCAGGCTGGTCTCGAACTCCTGAGCTCAAACAATCCGCCCGCCTCAGCCTCCCAGAGAGCTAGGATTACAGGCGTGAGCCACCGCGCCCGGCCTGTATGCAGTTTTTAAAAAGCCAATTCCATATGGTTCAGAGATCTAAATGTAAAAGGCAACAACGCATTAAAGCTTCCAGAAGGTAATGTAGAATAGCTTCATATCCCTGGAGTAGGGAAGGACTTTTGAAACAAGACACAAAAAAAGACTAACCGTACAGAAAGAGATGGGTAAATCAGACTACATTAAATTTAAGAACTTCTTTTTTCAGAAGTGCTATTAAAAGTGAAAAGCCACTGAGTAGAAGATATTTGCAGCATGTATAACCAACAAAGGGCTAGAGTTTAGAATATATGAAAACCTATACAAATCAGTAAGAAAGATAATCAGCCCAGGAGAAAAACAGGATATTTGGTAATGTACTTCACAAAAGAAGGCATCACGTGTATAGAGAAGTACTTAATCTCATTAGCAATGAAGAAATGCAAATTAAAACCAAAATATTATAAGATGCTACTACATACTCACCAGAATGGCTAAAATTAGAAAAACTGACCATGTCAAGGTCGTCTTGGTGAGGTGAGACCCTGCTAGGGCTCTGCTGGTGGAGCACTGGTGAGGCCGATTTGGGAAAGTTTGGCGCTTACTGAAGTTGACCCAGCATTGCCACTCCTAGGTACACGCGTGCACATGTACTCCAGGAGACGTGTGCGTAACAGCTTATTCGTAATTGGATGGGGGTGGCTACCAGTTGTAGAATGGATAAATTGGGGGATAGTCATACAATAGAATATTATACCGCAATGAGATGAATGAACAGTGGCTATTCACAACAGTGTGAATGTATTAATAGTTCCTAAGCAAGGTTGAGCAAAAGAAGGCAGACACAGAAGAATGCCTATTATAGGATTCTCTGCTAGTTTAAAAAACTAACAGAATAGTAGTTTAGGGTGCATGCTTAGGTGGTAAAATGCTAAACAAAGTGTTTTAGTCCGTTTATGCGGCTACAGCAAAATACCTGAGACTGGGTAGTTTATAAAGAACAGGAATTTATTTCTCACAGTTACGGAGGCTGGAAGTCTAAGATCAGGCACCGGCATCACGTTGGCCATTAAGTTTCAACACATGAATTTTGGAGGGGATGCATTCAAACAATAGCAGGAAACATGGAAATGAAAACCATCAAAGAATAACGGTTACCTCTGTGGGGGAGGGCAGTGGGTGGCAGCAACTGGGAAAGGACACAAGGGGGCTTCTGGAAAGTTGGGTCTTTTCCCACCCTAGGTGGTGGTTGCACAGCTGTTCTTTCTGTTAGAAATTCATTGCACTGTATACTTTTGCTTTGGGCACTTTTCTCTGTATCTTCAAACAATACATTTTTTAAAAATAGCTCATAATATTGGCTCTTATATTTTAGAAAAGCATTTACCTTTTTTAGAAAACAGTTAACTTAAACATTTCACGCACTTTGTCAACATCTACCGGCAGTGTTTATGTTCATTGCATTTGTATTGGTAGGTATTGGAAAAGGAATGTGGCTAAATCAGTTCACTCTCAAAAGACTTGGTTATAAGGACCAGAACTGTGAAGTGACGCTGTTCATGCACTGAGCTTACATTTGAGATACGTCGGGATTTGGCCCTTGGTACAGAGGAGATGGAGTGGGAGCTGCTTCCTGAACATGAGAAAGAGATGATCAGTGAGCCGATTCCATTAGGGAATTTCGGAAGACCAGTTTGACTCTGCTCGCCACGTTACATTGTAATGTGCTCATTTACAGGAATGGAAAACTGGAAAGAGGAAGGCTGAGAAAGACGAGCTGGCAGGAGTGATGATATTTTCCACCATGGAACCGGAGGCACCTGACTTGGACTTAGTAGAAATGTGAGAGATGCTGCCAGACTTTCCTTTCTCTCAGTTGCATCCACCTCCTTTGGCTTACAAGTCTTGGCCAGGGTAGCCACGGCTGAACTTCATGTCGTCAGATTAGAGTTTACGAAATGAGTGGGGTTTGTAGTCAGATGACAAGGGAAACGTTACTTGTACATAAAAGTGCTGTCTTTCTAACCATAACATCAGATTAAAATCTGCTTCCTTGAAGTCAGTGATTTCATAATTGACACAGTGTTTAGTAGTTATTTCCAATACAGTACGATGGGACCGAATGGCACAGAGCCACCTGACACCCACGTAATACTGAGCAAAGCAAAAATCTTTGAACATGGCCCCGAAGGAGGCAAACTCTAACCCGCTTTTTCTGGACCTTTTTTTTAATCTGTTGTTTTAAATCGTTTAATTTTTTTTAATACAGCCTCAGGTGAAACTTTAGGGCATTTCCTTTTCTGTATGAGGACTAATAAGAAATCTTTTTTTAAAGAAGTTTTTTTCTTATCATAAAATCATTGCTTGTATGTTACCAAAAATATAGTCAAAGAAATATATGCACACACAATCTTTCAGCTACCCAGAGAGAAAATCATGTTAATGTTTGTGTGTGGTCTTCCAGACCCTCCTGGATATATATAGTTATAGGAAAAATTATTTGTTTAAACAGAAACGACCTCACACCATACATCTGCTTTTTTCATTTAAAAGTATATTGTGGTGGTCTTTTCAGATTGGTAAATATACTTTTTTTTTTAATTACAAAATTTTTACGGGGTTACAAACATTTGGGTTACATCTATTGTATTTGCACCGCCCAAGTCAGAGCTATAAGCGTGCCCCTCCCAGACCGTGCTCACCACACTCATTAGGTGTGAATTTACCCATCCCCTCCCCCACCACCTGCCTGATCCCCAATGAATGTTACTTCCATATGTGCACATAAGTGTTGATCGATTAGTACCAAGGTAAATATACTTTTTTCATCCTTAAAGAACAGACATCTTCAGTATCACTTAGGTGCTTGTGTAGTCAGATTATTGTCTGTTTCATTAAAGTACTTGTTGGAATCAATGGACAGCTACCGTAGCAGCCCATACTGTTTTATAGATTTGATGGTACCTCCAGTGATTGGAATTTCACTAAATGAGATATTCAAGAAATGATGATTTTATTTACTTTGTAATAATTTTAGTTAAAATTCACAAGGAACTGAGGGGGGAAAGGAAGCAAAGTTAAATACAGCAGGCACCTGCGGTTATGTTTGGTCTGAGTCCCCTGTCCTTGCCTTTCCTCCTCCCCGCGTGGCCGACGCTGGCCGTGCCCAGAGAGCAGAAGTGCGATGCCGTGGGGAAGTTCACCAAGGCCATGGACGACGGCGTGAAGGAGCTGCTGACCGTGGGGCAGGAGCACTGGAAGCGGTGCACAGGACGTAGGTGCCACTCCTTGAGGCGGGGTGGGCTTTGAGCTGGCGGGGAAGGCGCAGTTTAATGACCTTTGTCCTAGCGGGGAACCTGCTCCCTCAAACGGAAGTGAACTGGGGCAACTGCAGTAATGTCACGCCTATAACTCTGCTTAAGTGAGCTTCTCCACCCAAGTTAAACAATAGAAAACTGACTCTAGCAAGGTTGGTTCAAGAAATCTCACCCAAAACACCGTGTTTGCTTAGTAGTTCCAGTCATTTTGGCCTTATAATCCATGGAAAGTCAATTTTTTTTGCATGTTTAAAGAGTGCTTATAGTTTAGTTTTAACCCCATGATTTTACTTTTTAATCTTCATCCATTTGATAAGATATGGTATATTTGACTAAAGCCATAATTTTTAGGAAAAGCCAGTATAGTTGGAATAGAAAATATGTCAGCTGGGTCAGACTGGGAGCCCTGCTGAGGGGAGGGTGGCACTGTCAGTCACGGCTTTCTGCCCACTCCTGCATGTCCCCAAGAGCTTCTTGCCTCCCTCCCTTTCCTTTGTTTGGAGAGTCGTTCTGTGAACCATTTCTGCCCGTGTTCCCTAGAGCTACGTGGCTCTGTTGTCAAATATCCCAGGATAGAAAAGCACTGTCACCTGTCCAGCTGTGGGGAAAATGCCACAGGATGGTGCCCTGTTATGCCCCAATGCTCCGAAGGCCACAGAGTGACACATCAGTCACTGAAACGCTGGGGCGGCCACTGCAGTTGAGTTCACACAGGTGTCCTGACTACTGTAGAGCGTGGGGATTTCTGTCCCCTCCATGTCTGTCCTGTCCCTGCTGGTAGCACGAGAAGAGCAGCCCCAGCTATGCGCCGCCTAACGTCCAAACAAACGGGCGCTGCCAGCCTGTCACTACGAATACTCTGGCCTTCAACTCATAACACCCTACAAGAGTATTCATTGCATTCAATTATTATTTTTTTAAAGAAAAATGGCTTCTACTTTGAATTATAAAAGTAATATAGACCCACTTTTATATCAGTCCTTTTTTCTTTTTTTGAGACAGAGTCTCACTCTTTTTCCCCAGGCTAGAGTGAGTACCATGGCATCCACCTAGCTCACAGCAACCTCACCTGGGCTCAAGCGATCCTTCTGCCTCAGCCTCCCAAGTAGCTGGGACTACAGGCATTTCTCCCGTCTGTTCTCTCTCTCTCTCTCTCTCTCTCTCTCTCTCTCTCTCTCTCTCTCTCTCTCTCAGTTCTAATTATTTGTACATCGAACTCCTGAGCTCAAACAATCCGCCCGCCTTGGCCTCCCAGAGTGCTAGGATTACAGGTGTGAGCCACCACACCCGGCCTTATATCAATCCTTTGATACTCAGTATAGGAAAGAGCTTAATTATTTTTGTAAAGATTTTTTTAAGGTGGTGTTTTTCCTCTAAATAAAAGGAAAGAATCAGGATTTGAAATCCAAGAATAATTTTAATGAGCAGGAAACTAAACATGGGGTGACTTGTGGATGAATTAATAAAATAGCACAGCAAAGATAATAGCAATATTAAGATCTATGAATATTATATCCAGACCTGAAAATCTAAGCCTCACATTAGGAATCAGCCAACTATGGTCTGCAGGCCAAATGTGGCCTGCCACCTATTTTTGTAAATAAAGTTTTATTGGAACACAGCCACACCCACTTATTTATGTATTGTCTGTGGCTACTTTTGTATTACAGTGGCACAGTTGAGTAGTTTCAGCGGAAACTTGTGGCCCCACAAAATCTAAAATATTTACTGTCTGGCACTTTGCAAAGAAAGTTTGCCAGGCCCTGCCTTACCTGGCAATGGCACAGGTGCATTGGCCAGTGTCGCTCTACCCATACCAGTGGCGCTTGCTGTTTCACATCAACAGAACAGTTTGTAGCATACAGCTCTTCCTGCTGGAGGGGCGGCTACCAGGAGTGACAGCAGTTGTTTCTTTCCCATGGCAAGGAAATATGATACTGTACCCTAGATAATAAGCTTGAAAAAAAATGTATATAAATGCAGCTTCTAGAAAAGAAATTCCGAGTTAAGCCTTGGGTCACATGGAGTGACTCATGAATCAAACGGGAGTGGCACTGTTCTCTAAAGCATAAACAGAGAGGCTCAGTGTCAAAGGTCATTTTGGCTGAAACTTACAGGGCCATCATAACAAATCGTTTAAATCTATTTCTTTGAAAGCTGTGTTTTTAAGTACGTGTGAATCTTACAGTCCGACTTTTTTAGGATATCTCAAAAATCTGGGACTGTGATTTCTTTTAGAGAATTAAATCCTTTATGTCTAATGTCTGGTCAGCTCCGTGTCCTGTGTAATCTGTAAGGCCAAATTTATAAAACGGGGAATACTGGCTTAAGGCTGCTCTTTTGGGGGATGGGGGAAAGATATTGAAGCACTTTGTTTAGGATTTAATTCAGGCATGTCTTTTTTCTTCTCTTCTCTCACAAAATAGTTTTTAAAAATTCCTAATCAATAGTGAAAACTCTAGCACACACTCCATGTGGTGAAGCACCCGCCAGTGTCTTTAACCCCAGGTAGAGAGACAAAAACTGAGGCACAAAAGAGTAAACAATTTATTAAAATTAACTGAGCTAATATAGCTTGAATTCGTGTTTCCTGATACAAGGAGCTTATAGACCTTACTTCAGATTTCTCTGGCCTAGACATTTTTCTTTTTCTGCTTTAATACTGTAAATATTAGTCTTTAAATGCAAATAATGGTTTCTTTTGAAAGGCACAGATACCTTTAAGGGGACTGTGTACAAATGCAAGGAAAGTAGCCTAAGATGCAGAGACTCTTCGCTGAAAGTTCTCCAAAATGATCCTAGAATTTTAGCACCTTAAAAAGGAACCGTAGGGATCATTTACTGAATCATCTCATTACACAGATGAGAAAACTCAGACCCTTCCTCCCTGATCCTGTGAAGTCTGACTATTGTATTTTTCTCCACACCTTGTTGCTGTCAGTTTTTGTTTGGTTGGTTATTGGTTTGCAAATGATCATTTATACACACACACACACACACACACACACAAGAGAGTGAGAAATGCAGTGTACTTGAAATCACAAGCCAAATCTACCATCTATTAGCCTTGTGACCTTGGGCAAGCAGTGGAGTTGTCTGAGCCTTATTTCCCTAATCCTCAGCATGGAGAGGTGTCTGTGCATCCGGTAGGGGGGTATTGTGATGACTGAGCGTTGGGGAGGTGTGAAAGTATTTCATAAACTAGAATTCACCTAAAGGAGCTTCCGTTTCACTACGTTTTATTCAGTAAATGAGAACATGGGTGGTGGTGAATAGTATCTACCATTAGTTGAACAATCATTTAAAAATAATTGAAAAAAATCATCAGTTGAAAAAATAATCACTTTTGCATCAGTCTTAAAGAATATAGACTGTTTTGAATCACTTCAGATGTCTTTTATTGTAAAGTAATCACATTTAGAAAATAGTTGAATCCCATTTCAGTTTGCTCAGAAGACTAGTTAACAGTTTATTCCTCTTTCTTTTTCAGCACTACCCAAGGAATATCAGAAGATAGGAAAGGCCTTGCAGAGCTTAGCAACAGTGTTTAGTTCTAGTGGCTATCAAGGTACGTCTTTATTTATTCACTGGGCCTTTAAAGGTGTCTTATCGAGACCTGTCACCTCTTTGGGGTCTTGCAGACAGCAGCTGCAGTGAAGCATCCTTGTCCTTGATGTGTAAATTGGCTGGGCTGCCATGCTTGAGATTTTGTACTGTCACCTTATGGCTTTTGAGAAAAGTGGAAGGTTTTTACAATTTGTATTTTCTTGCTGGTTTGTTTTCCTTTCTTTGCTCTCAAATGTAGCTCTTTGTTTCACTGTAACAGGTAGCCATGGTGTGTAAGATTCTATTCTTCATAACATTTCTCTGCCAAACTCTGTCAAGTCTTCCTATTTTATAAAGGCCAAATTTCATCAAGGTTATTTGAAGGAAACATGTTCGACTAAGTAACAAACACATATTGCCTAATTTTCTCCTTAGCACATAATTGTTCCAACTTATCCCATATGTGCATATCTTACCCATGGCATTAAGAATTCATGGTGTATGTGGGCAGCACTTGTGAGAATAAGTTAGCTCTTTTCCTTTATAAAAAGGAAAAGGCATTTGTCAGCTAGGTAGGACCTATTAAATCTGAGTATCTCCTATTGCTTACCGAAATGATAGAATTGGTGCTTTCACCAGGCATTTATCCCAATACCCAGGGAAGATAGTGCTTTGGATGTCAGTTTGTGAATATTTTAAGGAACAAGAGGTCAGACTCACCAAAATGTAAGATTTGGAGCTCCCATATAGCAGTGTTTCTCGTTGGCCTGGCTTAACTGTTTCTTGTCAACACTTTTAGACAGGAAGGGGGCTTTGAGGTTTGGTTGGCTTCTTTGAGGAACCTGAGGCCTAGAAAGAGAAGCATCTTGGCCAAGGTAACAAGTGGTTGGTGGAAGAGCCAGGACCAGAACCACTGCCTGGGGACCAGGCAGATGTCTAGGAGCCTTTCCATCTTCGTGGCTCTGTGGTATCCTGACAGGGAGAGAGCCTCTGTTACAGAGATGCTAGGAAATCGGCTACTTGGTCCTGATGGCACCTTCATATGGCAGAATTCACCTGCAGCTCTGCCTGCCTTAAACCTCACCTAAGAGCCCTCTCACCGTTCTTCAGCCCTGCCCACAGCTTCCCACCATCACCTCTTAGTCCACAGGAGTCGCCGTGGGAGAGCTAGCTCAGCACTGGGGGGCCCCCAGGTGCCCAGCCTCATCCCTCCAAGCCCAGCTGGTGCCTCCTAGTCCCAGCAAAGTTCCTGCACACGTGGAAGGCTCCCTCTCCCACCCACTGTGCCCAGACTCAATAGCTCGCTCAGGGTGGAAGAGCTCACCCCTTTCTGAATTTAGTTAATTTGGATTTCTTCATTGCTACAGCACTTCAGTGACTTTAAGGAAAAGCATGACTTTTTAGATTTATTCAGCATTTTCTTACTATGGCTTGAATAACAGTTTCTTGCAGTTGTCCACATCCTAACTGCAAATGGAAGCCTAACAATGATCCTTCCAGTAACTTCAGAGTTTGTAGCTAGATTATAATATTAATATATATACCCAGATTTAGGATCCAGGTCATTTAAAGTTACATAGAAAACATAGAAGCTATGCAGAACTAAATTACATATTTTTTTTCAGATGTAGAATTTTCCAGTAAAAACCAGAAAACCCGCTAGACAAATTCTAAAAGAGCTGTAACACTAAATCACAGAATTTTAAAAGAGCAATTCACTTGTTCTACTGGGCAGTGCTAAAAGAGACAGGTATCGCTCACTATTGCCTAAATTATGTTGTTAGTAGAGGGTGCAGATAATTGAACCAAAAGTCTTTGAAAGGGGGGAAAGAGAAGACAGTTGGTAATCTGGGAAATGGTTTCTAAATTTCATTGACTTTATACTGTAAGTAAGTCTTTGCATATATTACTCATCCTCTTAAAAATATAGTAGAATCCACATACCCTCAAAATGATCAGATTCTCTCCAGAGTTGTACAGTCTATGTAATTTTAGCCTGAAATAGCATAAAAGAAACAATGATATGGAGAAAGGAGGAGTAGAGAAAGGTGCAGGTGACAGTAGGGATGAGGCCACCCCAGTAGAGACGGCAGCCCAGATGGAAAGTGGGCAGCCTGACCATGACCCTAAGATACTGAGCCCAGCTCCCCAAGGCTTGTCCGTGACATCCTGCGCTGGGAGCTGCCGGTGATTCCTCAGTATTTCCTGTGCTATAATTATCAATCAACACGTTATTAAATATCATATTGCAAATAACACTTTTTCCAGTATTAAAAGTACTCGAGATATGTGTTTTATGTTGAATAAAGAACAATTCAAGTTCCTGTCAGCCAGCTTCTCCCATTTCCAAGGGCAGTGAAGGTTGGTGGTGGTGGGTGCTGCCTTATCACAGCCGCCTGCTCAGAGCCGTTGGTCTTGGGGCCGTGCTGTGCCATGCCATCTAAATGAGTTGGATTCCTAAGGATGTCTCTGATTATATTAAACGTCACTTTCAGTGCTCCTTTAACAGTACGTGAAATAACATTGGAACAATACAGAGACTGTTAGCACAAATCCATGAAACATTCCATATTATGGATTATGTAATGAGTAAAAATTTTTAAATGGTTATTTGTGGGAAGAGGAGTAGGCTTCTGATTATATCTTGTTTTGTAGATTTGATTTGATTTTGGAGCCATGTGAATGTTTTACATAATTATTAGAAAACAAACTTAAAATGGGGGAAAAAATCCCTAATAGTCAAAAACAAAATAAAACAAATGACTTGATACATCAAAATGAAAACATAACCACACAGCGAGGAATTATTTTAAAACATCTTAAAATAGTACTTTGTACATCTCTAGCATAAGATCTCTTAAGGTCAGAAAGACTGTAAAATAATTTTAGTGGTTTTCAGTAATCATACAGTTAGAAATACAATATTGATATTGTTATTCTAAAACTTCCAGAACTATATATTATAGGTTAAAGCAAAGACTGTTGTTAAACAATTAAGATTTTTAAAAATAAAAAGTTTTAAAATAAATTTTAAAAACTCCTGAAGTCCTAAATTTGAATTGGAATTATCAATATGAACTCATTATACATTTTTCCTCTTTTAAAAAAATACAAATTTGCTTTGCTCTGTTCACTGAAAAGGCCTAAAACAATTACCCAATCCAGCAGCAGGCAGTATTCCCTAGCACCACTCACAGGTGGTACCTGAACACCACGTTCCACCAAAATGAACCCGCGTTCCTGTCAAAAGAGCTCAGATGCCAATTTGAAGAGCCTTCCGCTGGCCAACGAAAAGAAAATCTGAGCATTCGTGAAAATAATAACTCATATGGAATGAAGAATATCAAATCTGTTTAGAACCAGCATTGTAAAGATACTGTAAAAAATTATTCTCACTCACTTTTGGAAGCTGGTAGAGGATCAGCTCATTATTCCAAATAGTGTACAGAGAAAGAATCCAGCCTTTAACCTCCTTTTCTTGTTTGAACTGCACCTCAAGAAAACCAGAAAGTTGATAAAGTTTCTCTTTATAGAAGTGTTTCAGCTAGTAATGTTGGAATGATAGAAGTGGAATAGAAAACCCACACTAAAATAAAAGATCTAGACAATGATCATTCATGGATTCTGACATCGTAAAAAACAGAAATAACTGGAAATTATGTTTCTGAATCTGATGAGGCCTCTGGATCCAGTAGCTAGTGTAAAGAAAATATAGGGACAGAGAAATGTGGTAAGTGTCACGCAGAGATGCAGTCGGCAAAACCCAGAATGTGGGTGCCAAGGCAGATGACTAGGGTTTGTCAGCACCCCACAAAAGGCAACTTGCAGAAAAAGGGGGTGAGGGAGAAGAATCTGTAGAGTAAGAAACATCAGCTGTGCGCTACGTGGGCCTTCGCAGCCTGACTCAGGCAGCCAGCTTGCGCTGAGATGCCTCTTTATGTCAGAGTGATGGTCTGCTCTTAGGTGTGGTCATGGTATTGTCCCTATTTTTTAAAGGGTCCTTATATTTTGGGTTAAACTTAGGGATGAGGTGTTGTGCGTCCAGTGAGGTAGGGAGGGTGTAGCTGAAGAAAGGTTGGCTGTGAGCTGTGAGTTAGGTTAAGTGATGGGTGATGGGCATTCGTTATACTGTGCTTGCTAGTTTCCAAAATGTTTGAAATTTTCTATAATAAAATTTACTAATAAAATCTATAATAAATTTTTAATAAGATAGATGAAAAGAAAATATTTGTAACTTATAACCACTGATAAAACTGTAATCATTTTCAGGTGAAACAGACCTCAATGATGCAATAACAGAAGCAGGAAAGACATACGAAGAAATTGCCAGTCTCGTGGCAGAACAGGTACTAACATAATCACACAATTCCAGTTAAGATTTTGTGCTATCTAATCCACATATTTAAAACCTTCCTTAAGTCAAACTTTTCAAATAGATATCCTCTTCTATTTCTGTGTATTTTTGTTATTTGTATTTATAACAGTGTTATGTTAAGCCAAAGTGGATGGATAAATTTGTCATCAAGACATCTAAGTGAATGCATTGCAGTATTGATGCCTCTGGTCCATCCTTAGCCATCAAGGGACTGTGACGTCCAGGGAAGAAGGCTGGCTCAGATCTGTCTGGCCTGTCGCTCAGCCTCTCCGAGCCTTGGTTTCCTTATTCGTTAAACTGCAAGGCAGTGCCTACCTTGTGTGGTTTCCAGGATTTAATAGCTGATAGATAGCACCTGCTACTAATAAGTCTTGGTAAATATTAAGGGAAAAAAGCACCTGCTACCAGCCCCCCGGATAGGGAGTTCCTTGTTATAGCTACATGGCTTTTATTGGCTCTTTAGAAGCCCAGCTGCAGGGGTGTGTGCGTGTTTTTCCAGATAACAGATAAGAAGTTCCCTTAAGAGGGATCTAAGTCATTTTAAACCTCTAAACTAAAAAAATAATTCTTCAGACGACTTCTTAAAAATACTATGTTTGTGGATATACACACATGCTGCACCACTGATGTGGTCATTAACTACTTTGCTGATACTTGTAAAAAATATTAATTTTTTTAGAAATGTGAGTAAAATAGCTATTAAAATTCAGAAAAAAATCAAAAAATTTAAAGTTGCCACTTACAGTGATTACCAGGTTTTTTTTTTTTTTTTTTTTTTGAGACAGAGTCTTGCTCTGTTGCCCGGGCTAGAGTGAGTGCCGTGGCATCAGCCTAGCTCACAGCAACCTCAAACTCCTGGGCTCAAGCAATCCTTCTGCCTCAGCCTCCCAAGTAGCTGGGACTACAGGCATGCGCCACCACACCAAACAATTTCTTTCTATTTTTAGTAGAGACGGGGTCTTGCTCTTATTCAGGCTGGTCTTGAACTCCTGACCTCGAGCGATCCTCCCGCCTCGGCCTCCCAGAGTGCTAGGATTACAGGCGTGAGCCACCGCGCCCAGCCTTACCAGGTTTTTTTAATAATATTTTTTTCTCTGCTAAAATTGGACATTATAACAACTTATTTGCTTGTGTATAAACAGAGTATTAACTAAATTTTTTTTCCCCATGGTATTGTCCACCTCAAAATAGCTAATTTTACAAACCTACTTAAAAATTATATGACGTTTTATCATTTTCTTTACAACATATGATTCAGAGTATAGCAAATAGTCTTGGGAATTATTTTCTCTTTAGGAAAACTAGTCTGAACGCCTAACACTCAGTAATGTAGTGTAGCACACAGAGGATTTCTAGTCCTCAGATGTAATAGTTTTCCTTTCCCTGATTTTCTTTATTCCTCTACCAGTAACAACCAACCTGTATCTTGTTCTAGCCAAAGAAAGATCTCCATTTCCTGATGGAATGTAATCATGAGTATAAAGGTTTTCTTGGCTGCTTCCCCGATATCATTGGCACCCACAAGGTAACTGATCACAGACGGTAACAGAGGACGACACCGGGTGAACCAGGGCAGACTGCACAGCCGTGGTCAATATTGTTTTTATATGTTTATCTTTATTATTTTAAAAAGAAACTATACAATTCCCATCATAAAGGTTTTTAAACTAAATAAAAAATTGGTTTGGGGTGTCCTCACATTTTAATTCTGGTTTCCTCTTGCTTTTTCAAAATCTGTACATTACGTCTGTTGTGAGTCGTGGGTTTTGATCAACTGTAGTGCTCCAGTGTGGGGTGATGTACTGGGATTTGTGAGCAGAGTCTCTACAGAGGGCTGGTCTGGGATCTTAATCCTCGCATGTGGCCGTTTTAGCATTTTGCTTTATAATTTAAATATCACAAAAGGGTATCATAGGCAAATTAGAAGCTTTATACCACTTAATACAAAACTCAGAACAATTAGCTTGTGGGAATTTGTGCCAGCAGAGTTAGAGTTTTAGGCCTGGTGTCTGATTTATGCATGAGTATAGAGTTTTTCTTTCGGGGCAGCCCTAAGTAACAAGCAGTGTGATGACACTGAAGTGGCAAGTGTTTGGCCGTTTTTTACAACCACTTCCATCTGAGTATTAATTTAAATTGATTCAGTGCCTCTTACAGAAATCAAAGTAAAGCCCAAACCTTAGAGTCAGCACACTTAAGTGCCAGCTTGTAAAATACTCTGTTTCATAAAAGAGACAGAGTACTCATGTGCATACTCTACCCTGTACCGGTCAGGTGACTTTCTAAACCTGCTAATGCCTGTTTTCCTATTACGTGCTACTCTTAAAATGGCAGTGGCTTCTAAATATTACAGAGATGGTAATAGACCGTGCTGTTTGGTTTTCTCTTTAGTTGTAGCATAAAACTGTAAATTTTAGCTTAGGTACATTTTTCAAGAATAGCAACATTTTTGCTTCCAAGGGACTTAAAGTAAGTTAAATTTAGATGCTTTCTTCTGTTCTTATTTTGCTGGGATGTTTTCCTGTTCAGTAGCAAGTCCGTTACAGACTGTGTTAGCATTGTTATATTTTAAACTAATGACTTATCCTTTTAGCTTCGTTTTTTTTAATACTCTTTCATTTTATATCTCACAGGGAGCAATAGAAAAAGTGAAAGAAAGTGATAAACTAGTTGCAACTAGCAAAATCACCCCACAAGACAAACAGAACATGGCAAAACGAGTCAGCACCATGTCTTATGCCTTGCAAGGTAAGGTAAAACAGTTATGAGTAACTAGTGGAGTTCCCCCCGCCCAACCTGGCCCCAGCAAAGTTGATGTTTCCCTTGCTGGAGATGAATCCAAATGTGAACGACAGTTAAATCAGTAAGAGCTGGTTTGAAATGCCTTCATACGCCCCTTGTTTGCAGGATCCCAGTGTTGACGAAAATCTGTAATATTTATTTAATTTTTTACACATTTACCTGATAAAGCTATGAATGACAGCTTGATTAAAGCTGTACATTTTATTATTTGAGAGACATTGAAGATTCCTTTTATAACCCTTAATATCATAATGCTCTATTAAATTCTAAAGTTCAGCTTTTAGCAGTCTGTGACATGAGTGCCCCAGGACCATGGAATGTAAGGGGTTTGGGTGTATCACTTTAGGCATAGTTTGACTCTAGTAAGATATTAATTTTTATAGATTTGAGTGTTTTGGAGCCGATGGGAGCAGAAAGTGGGTTTTCCTATGTTTTGATGGCTGGGTGCTGGCACATGCATGGGCAGAGGAGAACGGGGAGGACACACACAGTCATGGCACTGGATTGCATCATGGGCCTGCAAGAGTAGAACAGACTTTTAGGTTATTGGGAAATAATTTTGATGATTGTGGAAGAACTTAAAAGCCAAACAAAAGAGTCTAGGCTTGATGTGGGCATTAAGAGGCGCCATTACAGGGTTTCGAGGGAGGGAAAAGAAGTGATCATCGAGGGAGAAGGGTTTAATAGGATAGACTGGAGGGCAGACGCTAGGCCGAGAGCCCAAGCAGAAGAGTGTCCCCTTTGTGGTCTGAGATGCCGAGGACTGAAAGAAGATGTACCAGGGAGGGGAGAATGAAGCGTATTTGCGGCTTGTCCAGGGAATAGCCCTCGGACCTGGGAATCCATGGAGGAGAGGCATGTGTTGTGGAAGATCCGGAGCTGAAGCAACTCGTGGCAAAAATGTGGAAACCTTGTTGAAGATTTGGGTTTCGGCCGGGCGCGGTGGCTCACGCCTGTAATCCTAGCTCTCTGGGAGGCCGAGGCGGGCGGATTGTTTGAGCTCAGGAGTTCGAAACCAGCCTGAGTAAGAACGAGACCCCATCTCTACTAAAATTAGAAAGAAATTAATTGGACAACTAAAAATATATAGAAAAAATCAGTCGGGCATGGTGGCGCATGCCTGTAGTCCCAGCTACTCGGGAGGCTGAGGCAGGAGGATCGCTTGAGCCCAGGAGTTTGAGGTTGCTGTGAGCTAGGATGACGCCACGGCACTCTAGCCCGGGCAACACAGTGAGACTCTGTCTAAAAAAAAAAAAAAAAAGATTTGGGTTTTGAAGGGTTTGAAATGGGGAATTTGGTTTTGAACTTGTGTCTGAGGTTATCCGCGTTGCAAATAAGTTTTGTACGACTTGGGGTCACTGAGTGCAAAAGTCAGAACAGTTAGCTGACCTCTGGGGCTGGTGTGCGAGGGAAAGGCAGGTGTGGGGGGCATCAGGGAGGTGATGAGGAAGGCTCCCCAGAGTTGGGGGGCAGGGATGGGGTGACAGCAATAGGGAACCAGTGTATTCAGCAGAGGTGAAGGATGTAATCCCTGAGCGTGAAATCCTCCTGCCTAGTGAGAGGTTGAGCCCAGGCAGCGATGCCCCGTTGCTGAAGAGGGGCCTCACGCCTCTGCCAGCCTCTCCCAGCCGCGTGCAAGCCTGTTTCCTGTTTGATCAGTTCTGTCAGGGTAATAGTCCACGTTGGGGTGATTATCTGTGTTGGGCTTTAGGGTATTCAATATGCAAATCAATGAAAATCATCCGTCTACTGGAAAGTGGTGTTTGCCATTAACTGTTCAGCTTGTTTTTCTGGTCTCTTTAGAAAGCGATTTGCCGAGAACTGGCACTGCACTGAACCACCCAGATTAGGGCCGGTTGATGATTAATCGTAGCTGAGCAGGGAAACCAGGTGTTGTCATTTGAAAACTCGGAGGGAAAGCTGACTGTGTCTTGGTTTGGGTTGCAGCTGAGATGAATCACTTCCACAGCAATCGGATCTACGACTACAACAGCGTCATCCGCCTGTACCTGGAGCAGCAAGTGCAGTTTTACGAAACGGTGAGTTGGTGTCCGTCCGTGCTTTGCGCACGCTTCAGGAGGAGGATTCTGGTAAATGACTTCAGCCGTACAAAGTTAAGCTGTTCGTATTCTTTAATCCTAAGTAATAAACCAAAGGAGGTTAAATTTTGAATAAGATTTGTTTTTTAATCTCTTTCCATTCCATCTGCCTTTTCCTTTTGACTAACATTGGGTTGAAAAGGTTTCCCTTTGAAGAAGGGCTGTTGGAGCTAGTTATGAGGCCCCAAAAGTCCTTATTGTGTGGCTCCTTCCCCTGCTCACAGCCGCTCTGTGCCTCTGTGCACAGGAACAGTGCTGAATGAGATGAGGTCACCCTGCTGTCCCTCAGGCTCCGGTGTCAGCGGGGGAAGGAGCCTGGCACCACACAGGAAACCAAAGCAGCCCTTGTTTGCTGTGAATGGGGTTTTCACAGAGCACCAAAGGAATTTTGGGAGGAAAACAAAGCAGGGAAACCTTAAATATTCTCATTCACATAACAATAGTGAAAACTTAAATTTCCATACCTCTGCACAGTAAATTTGTTGCTTGCCAGAGTGTGTAGAAACAAACATCTAACAGCACATAGGTGGAAGCTCAGACATGTGAAGGTAAATTCTGTAACTTTATAACTGGCCGTCTGAGGGCTTGTTTCCTACTCAGCTCCCCCATCAGCGGTGTCAGCTGATGTGATCCAGGGTGATGCAGGGCCAGCCCGCAGCTCTCGTCCACGAACATGGCACCTTGGGCTGGACACTGCCGAAAATGCCTGTCTCCAGCAGCAAATCCTTGAAGGGGAGCTGTGCTCGATGTGCTTGGTGCACAGCTGTGGGTCACGTTTTGGGGCCAGTTGGTTTGGGAGACTGGCTTAGAGAAAGCGTTCACCTGTGCAGTGTTCACCCCGACAGTACGCGGTGCCTGTGTTCTTTAAATGCACACTTTCTCATAAGTCGATGCCATCGTGTATTTGCCTTTCCTCGTGTATTAGAGTATAGCAGATTACACTTGTCTCTGTGAGAGGATAATGCAAGGGCAACTCTAGACATTCTGATAATATCGATTTATTAAATAATTTTCAAGTTCAAGTGTGGTGTCATTATTAATGACATTGTAATTCAAAACAGAAAACCATGTATTTCATCACTGTGTTTGCATGAACATAAGTGGCTGATATAACATTGCGAGGTTTCAGATCTAACATAGTTTTGTGGTAAAGTAACTCTTAAATTATTGAAACTTGTGTATTTGTTCATGGAGCAAACGTCTGTTGAATATCTGTAATACTAAGCACTTACTCCAGATGTTTAACATCCAGGGATGAATGATGCATTTGTGCCTTCCAGGCGCATGTGGTCTCCTGGGGGAAGCGCAGGCACGTGACAGATTGCAGCGCCCTGTTAGCTGTGTAGCAGAGGCACGTGCCGCCTTCATACCGCGTAGCCGCAGAGCAGGGCTTGGTCAGGGAGAGGTGGCCGTCAGTGGAGTCTTTGGAGCTCAGACTTGTCCAGGAGAGGCAGGGGCTCCAAGCAGGCACAAAGACCTGATCCAGCAGACCCTTTTGAGGAAAAGCAGGTAGTCTGGCAGTGCTGCCACGGCAGAGGCAGGGACCGTGCCGTGGACACCTCACAGGCCGGTGGGGAGCACCGGGACAAGCCGTGGCATAGGGTGGTCCCTCCAGCAGCAACGTGGAGGCAGAGTTGAGCCAGATAGATGAGTTAAAGTTTTGTAATGTTTAACTTGGAAGAATTGTAAATAATAGAATACTGTGACTCATAATGGGGGTAACATCTCAAAATTGTTCTGTTGTTGTTTCATCAGATTGCAGAAAAGCTGAGGCAGGCCCTCAGCCGCTTCCCGGTCATGTAGAACAGGACGGCACGTGAAGAAAACTCCGAGTGCTTCTTTCTGACTTGGGGCGATGCAATTCAAAATGTGGTTTTTTTCCCTTATTATCAAAAAGGGAAAAAAAGGAAAGAAAAACAAAAAGAAATAGTTGCAAAAAACTGCATTTATTTTATTAACCAGCCTAAATGCCTCCGTTATTTAGGGATGGTCTTCTTTTGTTCTTTTCCATATCCATTATTTAAGCCAATGGAAATTGTCTCTATTTTTGGAAAGTGCTTAAAGTTATCAGAATTTTGAATGGAAAATTAGGGGTTTCCCCCCACTGACTGATATTTTACATAGAATTGTAATTTATAAGTCACCTACAATCTTCAAGTTCTTACCCAGTGTCAGATAATTAATTACTAATTGCTTTCTTAAAAATACGGAATATGGCAGAATAAAAAAGTATATATGTTTGTATATTTTTATAACTCTTTTCAGTCCTCTGGGCTCCTGTCCATTTAGGGAGGTCTGCATGCCTTCCACTGACACAGTTATGACTCAAGTGCTTACGTTTCAGGAGGGAGGAGGCAGGGGCTCCCTCATGGTGCATGGCAGGGGGACCGTCACGTGTCCCGCCGGGGGACAGCTCGGCAGATGAGCAGATCCACCTGCCCACCCATTGCCCCCGGGTCGTTTCTGGCGTGCTGCTCGCACATGAGGACCAGTGCTCTCTCTTCATACTTCTTCCTAGTCGTGGTTATGGCATGGTTCATGCCAGAAAGAGTAAGTCAGAAAAACTGGGGGGCTTTTAAAAATTCCATGGCCTTGCTCCCAGGGAGGAGTAGCTGTGCTGATACCTGTGCGCAGGAGTGCTCTAGGGGAAGGAGCAAAGGTGACACCCTCTGGGCCCGAGACCCTTCCCCTCTGTATTCTTAGCTGTTCATCAGACGCAAGGAGAAGTGCTAGTGACAGGTGGCACCTACTTGACTGGGACTGTAGGCTAGCAGGCCCGCGTGGTGTCAGACAAGATAAAAAGCACAGTCTGGCTCCTCTGCCCCCCACTCCCCCACCCCACGGCAAGTTCAGGGACTGAGAAGGGTGACAGCCTGAACAGTGTGCAGGTTCCCCGGGCTCTTACGCTGAAGAGAAAGTACAGACCGAGGCTCTTCCTGTGCGCTAAGCTCCAGACGGAATTGTTCTGAGCACCAGTACTTCAGGTAGGGGCAAAACAGGACCTTGACGCACTGTCAGCTTTGAGTCCCAACACTCAGACGCACCGTCTCTCCTGCAGACGAGCATTTGTCTTCCGCAGTTGCCTTAGCACTCTCTCTTACTGCTTTCGTGTTTCTGACCTATTACATTGTAGAAATGCAAAGTCCAGGCCAGCATAAATAAAATGAAACCAAAAAATGGATAGATGAGGAAATCAGTGAAGGTGAATACGGGAACGTCTTATTCTTCAATATCACGGGTTTTCGTTGGTGTTTTACGAGTAATTTTCCCCACTTGATTTTTCTTTTATAAAATCCCATAGAACAGTGTTTATGATACAGCCATTTAATATATGTACAAATTGTAAAGAGTATGTATAAATGTTTTACACAAATGTAAAAGCATGTAGAAGCCAACATATAAATAAATTGTTTAAAAAAAACTGTACAGTAAATTCTCAAAGCACTTTTTCAAAACAGTTTTTGGTGGTTTTGTTTTGTTTTTTAGTTTTTTTCTTCTTTTCATTTATTGCTTTATATTTCAGCTGCTGAAAATGATCCAGGTAATGAATTTTTCCCCAAAACACATTTCTTCTGACATCAATTAATAATTTTAGTTTCTTGAGTCGGTATTGCCAGTCCTGGGAGCACATCACCACCAGCTGGAGAGTTACAAGAACAAGTACAGATGCCCTGTGATTACCTCCCAGGTATTCCGATCTAACTGGTATGAGGAAGGGGCCAGGAAAACGAAGACAGGATCTAAGAAAAGGAGGTGACGTGGGATACACAGAGCAGTAGCAGCTAACTGTGAACCGGGAAAGTAAAGAGAGTTAGAAAGAAAAGATAATCCACTGGAGGTTGATACTTGGAAGATTCTCCTTCGAGTGGCAAAATTTTTATGACATGTATTTCCTTCTCTATGGGATCAAGTGTACCACGTGGTTCTCATATTTGTTGATGTTTTGATTTTTAATTATTTTATACAAATAATTATTTTTAATTATTTGTATCAGCCTTTAGATAGCACAGAAGAGCTATATTTAATAACTGTACAAATATTGACAGTGTACAAATATTAATAGTAGATAAGTATTTGGAGAAGAGAGATACGGGCATGGTGAGGGAAAAGGTCAGTCTACTTGTCAGGCAGGTGGCACTGGTTGCCTGCCACCAGGAGCAACAGGCCCAGGATGTCAACCCACTGCATGGTTTGCAGGTGTTGGGGTCACCAAGAAAGACACGACTCCCACAGGCACTGGCGGAACTTCCTTCAGAGAAGGACGGAGCAGGATCAGCCTCAGTAGTGGCCGTCGGGCCCCCACGGCCAGGCAGATCGTCTGCTCATGCCCCCCAGTGCAGGGTTGACAGGCTGTGCGTGACCACCTGTCCCAGCACTATTGGTCCTCACCATCAGTGGAGGGACTCCACAGGTGCTGCTTTAAGGGTGGGAATCCAAAATATTGCAATACATTATTTAATGTAGTAAAAGTTAAAAGTAGTGGTTGCTTCGTGGAACTGATAACAGTAATGGGTGAATGTCCTTTTTTTCCTACATGTGTATGTTACTCAATTTTTTCAACCTGTTTGATTTAAAAACCCCTTTCTCCAAGAAAGTAAGAAAGAAAACTTTGAGTTACATTTTTGTGAGGACATTTGGCCATGGGTCTCTGGCACTCTGCCTGGCTTTGCTGGCTGTGTCAGGAATGCAGAGCTCTGGCTTCTGCTCACCTGGGCTGTCTCAGGGCTGTGTGTGTGCAGCAGGCAACCTTGAGCAACAATGCCCACTGGGACGAAGAGCAGGCTGGCTCACTGCTTGCTGTAACATGGTGGGTTTCCCAAGCTTCAGGTCCTCTCCTGTAAGTACACGCTGCTTGGGCAGGCCCTCCTCTGGACCCTCCACTTTCCCCCAGGGACTGGCAGGGCAAGGGGAAAGCGACACATGTATGCTGACGTTCATGGTGCCTGCTGTGCTGTGGCACGTCAAGGCCTTTGTCTCTGACCCAGGAGTCTCTTGTGCCAGCATCCATGAAACAGGAACACACTAACTTGCTTTTAAGTACAGCAGCATCAAATCTCACACCCAGCAGGTACTTTTGTAAGAAAAAATTGTTCAAGTGAAAGAATAAAATGAAGAAAGCCACCAGAAAGATACACACTTGGCTAGCCTGTTAGACGATGGTGGATGATCTTTCACACCCCATCAGCACGCAGTAGAAAAGACCCAGGAGAACAAGCTGAAGTTCTAGCAAAGCAGAGATGAGAACGTCATGGATGCCGTTTACAATTCAAATGATAACTAGCGAAGTCGTCTGAAGGCTGTTAAAACTCCGGGGGAGAAGATGGCTTAGCTTCTGACTCTCAACAGTAAGCTCAAAGGCTATGCGGTGAGAAATCCATGCCCATATCCATGCTTTGTTTGCCTAATTTAGATTATTTTTAAAATTGATTCTGTTCTCTGATCAACACCTAGGATATTTTTGGTGAAATGTTTATAGCGGTTTTCCATTTTGTTTCTTAGCCATCAGACATAAATCTTGAATGAGGAAGCTACAGGCGGTCATTAATGGAAGCTGTTCCTAGAACCGCAGGTAGGAAATTTTTTTTTTGAGACAGAGTCTCACTGTGTTGCCCGGGCTAGAGTGCCGTGGCGTCATCCTAGCTCACAGTAACCTCAAACTCCTGGGCTCAAGCGATCCTCCTGCCTCAGCCTCCCGAGTAGCTGGGACTATAGGCATGCACCACCATGCCCGGCTAGTTTTTCCTATATATTTTTAGTTGTCCAATTAATTTCTTTCTATCTTTAGTAGAGACGGGGTCTCGCTCTTGCTCAGTCTGGTCTAGAACTCCTGAGCTCAAACAATCTGCCTGCCTCGGCCTCCCAGAGAGCTAGGATTACAGGCGTGAGCCACCGCGCCCGGCCCGCAGGTAGGAAATTAACTCTGTCCAGCTTCTCTCATTCACCAGCTCCTTCGTTACACAGATAAGGGAACAATCTCGGGCTACATTCATTTCAATCCTTCGTCTAATAAAGGTTAGCGATTACTTATTCATCTGGGCCTCAAGGAGGTGCCACCTCTTAGCTCACGAAGCCCGCAGTCAGCTGAAGGGTCGGCAAGCAGGAAGGCCCAGGTGGGACAGGCAGGCTGGAGGCAGAGGACTGGAAGGAGGCCGGTGTGTCGGAAAGACGGCACCTGTCTGTGCTCCCGTGAGCAATCCCAGCTTTGCTCCTGAGTCAGCAGAGTGATGATTGGGTTCGCATTTGTAAGAGCTCCCTCTGGCCAGTCACAGAGAGGGGAATGAGGACATTATTATAGAGGACAAGTTTGGACGCAGAAACCAATTAAAGGGCTTTTGCAGTGATGCGGGCCAGAGACAGGAGTGGCGTGGACTAGTGTGCAGGGGCAGGCACGGAGCGAAGTGGGCAGGTTGGAGAAATATCTCCAGGAGAGATCGTGGGCTTGTAGACAGATGGAAGCTGGGCAAGAGAAAACGCCCAGGCTGCTGGTGCCACCCGTTGAGTTATAGACACAGGAGGGGAGTGACTCTGAGACTGAGCACACGTGGGACAGGCTTTCAGGGTGGCCACGGGACCCCCAGCTGAGTAGACAGGAATGTGTAGCAGCCCAGAGAGGCTGCTGCAGAGACCTGCTCTTGACGGTCACAGAGTTTTCTGAGAACAAGGCTGTCGTGTAATTACCTAGGGAGAGTCCGTGGAAGAAGAGAGTTGAGCCAAGGACAGAAGGAGGTGCATACACAGACAATTTAATGTCTTTGAAGTATTTCCTTTCAGTCTTTTTCTTTACATGTACTTTTTCTACACGGTAGGAACGTTCCTGGGTGTGCACTTTGTATTCTCTCTTTACTTAGCATTATATCATTTGGTTTCCTTCATCACATTAGAACTACTTT